AATGTCGATTTGCCGGCGGGCGCATTCGCCCGACGCACTGCCGCCGGGTGGGCGCCTGATCCAACGCGGCAGACAGAGTCAGACGTTTGTGCTGCGCAACCCAAGTGGGCGCGAGGACGCGATACTTCCCACAACTAACCCACGCGCGACGTGGATCTGTCCGCTTCCTGCTGCCGCACTGGCAGGCTGCGTGGACCTCCATCCACTCCTCCTGGCCCGGAACGTGTCCTGGGCGGTCGAGCAACGCGTCCTCGTCGTCGATCGTGCCGCGCGCTAGAGCGCCTGCCAACCGCCTGGTGAGCATTGGAAACAGGTAACCCCATTTGTACAGGGCCCAGCAGAAAACAAACCTCTCAATATCGTCATTGTCAACGTACCCCATCAGCAACATGATGAGGTCGCGAAACTGTGCGATCGCGGATCTGGCACCCAACATCCTTTGAAATGCGCACATTAAGGATGCGGCGCCGCGCGCCTTCCGCGACGGCAACAGAGAGGTCTCTTGCGCGAGCCGAGCGCAGGAACCCGACGCGCGCAAAGCCCCATCCATGAGAATTGCGAAAATGATAGTCGTGAGGTCTGGTGCGCGCAACGTGAAGTCACTCCACCACTCCAGATTATGGGCCCCTCGCTTTTCCTCCTCCCTGTGTCGTTTCATGGCATCGACCGTCCGCGCCCACGACTTGAACTTCAACAGAAATCTGCGGGCCGTCTCTGTGAGGCATGTAAACCTGCGAACTCCACCTGGATATTTGCGCGACAACTGGGGCGCATCTAAAGCATCGTTCACGCCCCGATGCAGCTGGCGCCCTTGGCCCCAACCGAACGTCGACTCCAAATCGCGCAAGAACGCCATGAAGTTCCAAGCAGTCACGCATGCCTTTATAGCATTCACACCCGCATGGTCGACGCGATGGACACGATCCCAGTGCACACGAGGAGCTCGGCCAATTCCAGTGAACAAGCGGGAAAAAGCATCCATGGGGCCACGCTTGCTCGCCTCACCTGCTGCGCATTGGCCGTCGACGCCCGCGACTGCCAAAGATGACCTCACGGCCCCCGCGGTGATCTTCGACGGAGTCTCATCCAAGCATCGCGCCGTGCGAAGATGCAGCGCGTTGCCCCCGCCGTCGTGCCCCTCGGGTGGGGCCCCGAGCAAGCTCGAACTAACGTCGTCGGTGGGGTGCGTTGGCGTTGCCACGGTCGCCCCAATGATCAGCACTGTGGCTCGGGCGCTCTTGAATAGCTTGCCGATAATGCCAGAATCGGCGAACAAGCAAAAGTCTGACCTGATGCCAATCGAAGAAACTTCCGCAACGAGGATGTCAGCGAGCTCGCACCGCGCAACACGGGCCAAACAATGCTCAAAAGCTTCCACGAACTTGGCATTCAACAACTTGGCTCCCAATGAACAGCCGCTCAATCTCAACAGATTAAGCTCCTCGACGACGGAATATCTGGAACGCCCGTCCACTGCGGCGGACGCGATCGCCCGGCCAACAGCTGTGCGAGCAGTCTGGGAAACATCGGTCATCGGCGTTTCTTCTTCGGCGTCTGGGTCGATGGCCTGAGGGGCATGAAAACCAGAAGAATAGAGCCGGTGGAGGTCTTGAGCAGTCCAGGGTGGGACGCATGTCAATCCAGAGACAAACTTATGCGACAACCCAGCGCCCTTTGCGCAACCCCGTGGAAGATAGAGTCCCCCAGCTAACTCTGCAAGGAGCTCGCGGGAGGATGCCTCCCGTAGCTCAGCTGTCCGCTTGCGCTTTGCACGTTTGGTGCCTTGGGTTACGGGCCCGTCAGACAATAAGTGGTTCAATACCTCCGCAGCGTCGCTCAATACTTTGGCAGCCTGCGGGTGCATTGGGCAACCCCTTTGGGTCGGCATCCGCAACTTTCGCCCAGGTGCGACTTCCCCGGGAGCTTCAAAAACAGATGCGGTCGCAGTAGCAGCTGCTCCGGTCGGCTCCTCTGCGCTGCCTGGGCCAGCTGGCATCTCGACTTCAACGTCGCTTTCCCCTGGATGGGGGGGCTCATCCACATCGCAATCTGGCGACTCTGCAGGGCTGCGGGGCTTCGGGACATGCGATCTCAACGACCGGCGATGACGGAGAAGAGACCTGGATGTCGCAGGGCACGGGCGCCGCAGCACGAGGCGCTGCTCGTTGCCCCCGCTGCCGGGCATTCCTAGGAACCTCTTTGATAAAGCATTTCGCTTGCTCCTGCAAGTGGCCTGGCAAATCAACCCTGTTGGAAAAGTAATTCAATGCGTTACCCAGCGACTCATGCACCAGCAGCTGTCTCAACGCATCGAGCGACGCGCACGCAGACGTCAGCTCTTGCGCATGGCGGAAAGCCTGCTCCAGAGAAGCAGGGTCAGCCAAAGGGTCTCGCAAGGCAGTGGCTACCTGAGACGCCCGTGAGGACATTGAGCCAAAATGTCTACTGCGCACTGCGAAGCGCGAGCAGCGCCGAGCGCGAAACACAGGGCCATCTTGGGGCCCTCCTGATAGCATCCTGAGGCATTCAAGATGACACAAAATAGGATCCAATATTGCACGGGATAGCCCGAGTAGGCAAACCAAGGAAAACAAACAACACACATTATGCAAAAACCCTGAGCCCGCAGATTCCCTCATGTTTTTGCCTTTTTTTCCAGTGAACCGCAGATTCCCTTATGTAATCAACCATTGTGCAGAGAACTGCGCGCAGCAGTTGAGCACAGAGTAGCCCCCAGGATGGCACATGATAGCCCAAGGAAGGAACACAAGCGAAACAGCAAGTTCAACAAAAAACTTGAACCCGCAGGTTCCCCTTATGAAACTAAACATATGACCTGAACCCGCAGATTCCTCTATCGAATTGAGCCTTCTGCTGGACCCGGCGCCGCGTGCTCGAGCACAATCTGGTCTCCAAGTTGGCAGTGGATAGCCTAAATAAGGAATACAGGTGTACAAGAAGATCAACAAAAAACGTGAACCCTCACATTCCTTATGGAATGGGCGTTTTTCCTGGACCAAGCGCCACGTGCTAGAGCACCATATGGCATTCAAGATGGGGTGTTTATCGGCCTCCGGGAGCGTCCGAAAACCACTCCTCGGCCAGAGCGGAAAGGATTTCTTGGATTGCATCTCTTTTGGCTTCATGAGAACAACCCCGAAAAATATTACAGCGCCGATTTTTCCGAAACCGCATCGCACGCACACCGCGGGCAAACCACCAGCACACAGGCCACAAAACCGCAACGACACGCATGAACACGTGAAAGCACTTGCGCCACTTATGCTACCTGTTTGCATGTTTGCTGGTGTGTTGGCAGGGTTTCTTTTGCAGGCTGGCTTGGGGGGAAGCGGTTGTCTTTCCCTTGATAAGAATGAAACTAATCCCCCCGCGCTAACCTGCAAAACGAGCACCGCCAACACACCGAAAACATACAGACGTCTCGTACAAATCACATAAGTGGCTCCACGTGTTTATGCGCGTCGGCGCGCTTTTGTGCCTAGTGCGCTGGAAGTGCCCCCATGGTGTGCCTGCGGCGTGGCGCGCGCGAGCGTGCATTTCAGTGGCGACGTCCTGGCAAAACCCTCTGTTCTGCATCACTGCACGAAAACTCTAAACTCTGGCAAACCAATGTGGTCCCCAGCGTCAATCTCCAGAAGAGGCAAAAAAAACAATGTTTGCGAATTTTGCGAGGATTTCCCCCCTTCGAGAACACGAATTTTAAAGGCACGCGCCCACCCCTGGTTTGCTTTTTATTTTCAATCCCCCACTGAACTCTTTCCTCCTTCATCATCCACAAGAGTCCTTCCCCGGGACCGTCCTCCCTCTCCTCCTCCTCCTCCTCCTCCTCCTCCTCCTCCTCCTCCTCCTCCTCCTCCTCCTCCTCCTCCTCCTCCTCCTCTTCTTTAACCTCATCCTCTACAAAACACGGGGCATGTGGCAAATATGACAGACGGCCCCCTTCCACCCCCTCCTTCTGGTCCATTGCCCCCCCCGGGATCCACAAAACCCGCGCTCGATGTTCGCGAACGTTTTCCGATTGAGAGCGGACTGAAAATATTGGTTGACACTATGCAGCAAAAAAGTATTACGTCGACCAGGCTCGCCTTGATCTGTGAGGGCGGGCTACGCACACGTATATGACGCGAATGCGCCCGACTCCGCCGCCTCCTCCTTTGGCCGGTCGCAAGTTCGACGTCCCCGCCAAGATCCCAAGGGCGCTGGCAGAAGGGAGAGGAGGAGGAGGAGGAGGAGGAGGAGGAGGAGGATGAGGATGAGGAGGAGGAGGAGAAGGAGGAGGACAGGTAAAGAGGGGCGTGGACGGGGAGAAGGAGAGGCGGGAACTGCCAGGATGTCTCAAGCGAAATGGACTGGACCATCTCAAACCCGGTCGTATCGGAACGCAGACTTGCGAGGATGTCTCATGCAAAACGGGCGGAACCACCTCAATTGGTTGAGAATGTCTCGGCGCGGGGGCCCCTCGGGCGGCATTCGTTCTTACCGCAGCACTGCCCCCCGGCACATGCCAGGCGACCCGGGGACATTCCAAGACAGGACCTATTGAACGGCAACAAACGAGAAGTTCCCATATTTGTCTGTCTGACTGTGACACGAAAGCACCCAACCCCGCTCCTACCTCACCCCGTTGCTTCTCCACCCCTTCCTCGTCTTCCTCCTCCTCCTCTTCCTCCTCCTCCTCCTCCTCATCCTCCTCATCCTCCTCGTACTCGCCCTCCTCCACCTCCTCATCATCATCGTCGGTATGGTCAGCACCGTCAAGATCATCCATATTCTTCCTCCTGCTGCTTCACCGCATCCCTTTAACGGGTGCCAGAATGCTCTGCTGTAGGAAAGTACAGAACCAACTAAACGTAAGACCCCGTGATGGCGTCGGTGCTGACGTCGGCGCTGCTGTCGGTGATGGCGTCGGTGATGGCGTCGGTGATGGCGTCGGTGATGGCGTCGGCGCTGAAGTCGGTGACGGCGTCGGTGCTGGCGACGGTGATGGCGTCGGTGATGGCGTCGGCGCTGGCGTCGGTGCTGGCGTCGGCGCTTGGGTTGGTGCTGGTGTCGGCGCTGACGTCGGTGCTGACGTGGGTAAAGGCGTCGGTGATGGCGTCGGTGATGGCGTCGGTGCTGGCGTCGGTACTTGCGTCGGAGCTGGCGTCGGTGATGGCGTCGGAGCTGATGTCGGTGATGGCGTCGGCGCTGGCGTCGGTGCTGGCGTTGGCGCTGGCGTCGGTGCTGGCGTCGGCGCTGACGTCGGTGCCATCGTCGGTGTTGGCGTCGGCGCTTGGGTTGGTGCTGGTGTCGGCGCTGACGTGGGTGCTGACGTGGGTACTTGCGTCGGAGCTGGCGTCGGTGATGGCGTCGGCGCTGGCGTCGGTGCTGGCGTCGGCGCTTGGGTTGGTGCTGGTGTCGGCGCTGACGTCGGTGCTGACGTGGGTAAAGGCGTCGGTGATGGCGTCGGTGATGGCGTCGGTGCTGGCGTCGGTACTTGCGTCGGAGCTGGCGTCGGTGATGGCGTCGGAGCTGATGTCGGTGATGGCGTCGGCGCTGGCGTCGGTGCTGGCGTTGGCGCTGGCGTCGGTGCTGGCGTCGGCGCTGACGTCGGTGCCATCGTCGGTGTTGGCGTCGGCGCTTGGGTTGGTGCTGGTGTCGGCGCTGACGTGGGTGCTGACGTGGGTACTTGCGTCGGAGCTGGCGTCGGTGATGGCGTCGGCGCTGAAGTCGGTGACGGCGTCGGTGCTGGCGTCGGTGCTGGCGTCGGCGCTGGCGACGGTTCTGGCGTTGGTGCCATCGTGGGCGCTGGCGTCGGTGCTGGCGTCGGAACTTGCGTCGGCACTGGCGTTGGTGATGGAGTCGGTGCTGGCGTCGGCGCCAGCGTCGGTGCTGGCGTGCATCCTATCTGCGCCATGGCTGCGCTCGTGTCTGACACACTCACCTTGGCAAAGGTCGCGACATCGAGGCTGCAGACATGAATCCACATGGTACTACTGGAGATTTCGAAAGTGTCCCCCTCTGCCAATGTGGACCAAAGCTCAGTCGCCGAACTGACATCGGGCTGGAAATGCACATGGACACGGTCAACCAATTCCAAAAGTGAACCAGAATATTTGTCATAGAGGCCACTTTGTGTGTGCGAAGCCGAAACGCCGTAAAAGCTTGCTGCGTCGGCCACACGGAAGGAAAGGTAGAGAGCACCAACACTTGTGGTCGACGCAACATTTCCTACGCATTCATCGCATGGGATCTTCATGAGCAAAGACTCTGACCCATCCGGCCCCTCATTGAGGGGAGACAAGTTGACTGCAATGCTATCAGACCCCCGAATGAACTCCACTATATCGGCCCCTGTAATCCAACCGAGCCTATAGCGCGCAACAACGTTGGTGTCTGTAGGCCGCCACGACCGCTGATAACCCATTATCGCATCATCCTGGTACTCCTGGAACGTACCCCCGCTAGTATATCCTCCTGCATGGTTGAGGCCCCAATTGTGCCCTATCTCGTGAAAGAACGTCTGCCAAGTAACAGCATTGCCGAAGTATTGGGAAAACCCACTGTACCACTCGGTGGTCGGATAGAAAGCAGTGGTCGCGTAAGTGCTCCCAGGTCCAATGACCATCGTATGCTTGTAAGCCCTTGTGCTGAACTGTGTTTGATATGCTGCTTGACTATGAACACTGGTTGCAACTGCAGTCAGATCTGGGAAACCTCCCTGGAGCCAATTCGCAGGGTCTTCAGTTGATTCCATCTCGAAGAAATCGACATCGGCAGATTCAAGCCAAGCCACCCCCCAAGAATTGTGGTGAAGAGAGTGGTTGAAGCCAGAACATTGAGGCCTATCCCACGGAGGGATACTGTTGAAATTCGTCAAACAAGTTGTAGTTGGAACGTTCCAGAAGAAGCCCTGAACCTCCGCAAGCGTCTTGGTAGGTTTTTGGTTGCCATATGTCAGGTAGACAACTAAGATCGGACCACAGGCACCACTAGGCAACTGCGAAGGCGCGGCCGGAACACCATCACCATGAGCGGCCGAGGCAAAACCACTGTCATCTGGGGGAAGCATCCCAGGAGTGGTCTCAGATGTGGAGAGTCCCCCAGTGTCATTTGGGGGGAGCATCACATCGTCAACACGAGTATCCAACCAATTATTAAACAAATCTTCAGGGCTCGGCATGGCTCTCATGGACGTGCTCCTGCGTCCATGGCCCCTGCGCCCATGTTTCGGTCTTCTCTTGTTGGCGTGAACGCCGACCACCTGAATTACATTGCATGCGCAAGCTGCAGTAAGAATCATAATAAGTAAGTGAGTCATCGTTTGTTCGGAGAGTATATAGAGATGTGTACGAATCGTGCAACAAGATAACCCGTTTGAACGTCCATCGTTTGTACGATGGTTCGTGCCACTAGGGCTCCGGATGCTGCTCTGATGACGTTGACGCTGCGATCGTATTGACGAGACGGTGATCACCACGCGGCGAATACTTGCGAAGTCGATGCCAAGCTGGGCCGAAGCCAACTCCAACGGCCCAATCCACGCCCCTACATTGAAGAAACCCCTCGACTCGCGACAGTGGCAGGTCAATGCGCACGGCCTTTCGCACGCGGGGACGGGCCGCCACGACGAACGCCCAACGACGGAGAGCCGCCACGTGACGATGCCCCACGGCCCCAAACGAAGCCTGTCACGAACGCGGCACGACCTTGCCCAGGCCAACGCCAGCTCAGTCGCACTCGCGGAGCTACGTGGTGATACCCCGTGTAGTCCCGACAAGCTCGATGACGATGGCAATCACGATGAATGAGATCAGAAACTGTACTGTCACGCAACCAAAAGGTTACGCAATACTCGGCTTGCAAGAACTGCGAATACATACGTTTATCTGAGAGGTGTCCGAACAAAAACGCCATGCTTCTGAACACGCTCGGAATCAACACGACGCATCAGAATGAGGGGACCGAACGGTCATTCAGTGTCCCTGGGTGCGTGGCTGATGTGAGAATCCGTGGTGAGAATTCTGCTTGTTGCGTTGAACTTTCACTACTGAAACATAATTTGTGTTGATCCCCCCCCCCTCCGGTGCTGGCTGTATGTTTTGAACTGAAGTGCCCCTCCCGGCGCTCGCACCCTGTTTGATATTGGGAAAAGCTTCCTCCTCAAACTGTGCCCCTGGCCCCCCACTTTACAACAACAATTGCTCCTGGTTGATACTTCCTCGAAATTTACTCTGGTCCCCCGCTCCCGCTTGAGACTTCCTCGCAATTTACTCAAGAATCGCGCTCTCGCCTGAGACATCCTCAAATTTACTTAGGAATCGCTCTATCGCTGAATCTTCCTGGCTAATCACGCAGAGCTCACGAATCTATATAGTTGTGTATATCTGTATACCCACCAAAAGTGGCATGATCGAAAACGAAAGGGGCGGGCATCGAGGGCTCGGGCGCTGAATGACACTCGAGCAAATAAGGGCGAACCGTCTGAGAATGATTGCTGCTGTTGAATATCATTTACTAAACAAATATTATTGTTGGACCCCTTACAGGCGCCCTGGCGCTCTCGCCGAGGCGCCAACAGCACCTTCATTGAAAATGAGGCTCACTCTCAAGGGGCTGGGGGCCACCAAAACCGGCTCCCCAACGACAACAGCGCACCCGTCCGAGACTTTCTTTTTTTTTACTCCGGGTTGGTGTTTTTGCTCGCCGCCGAAAGCAGCCGTCTCAACAAAACCAGCGCTTTCGCTCGAGAGCTCCCCCCGCTTTACCTTGGACAGGCACAGGCGCGCTACTATTTCTCTCATCGGCTCCGCCCCCCCCAGCAACAACAAC